AACCTGGGCTCCCTGAATTTAGGACTTTTTAAAATGGATGTTTTATGTCGTCATTTCGAACTAAACTAACATCACCAGTAATATTGTGTCCAGCTGGACTACAGTTGAAATACGAGGAAGAATATAGGCACATAAGAGTTTTTGCTTAAGATTGCCTACGCCCACTTCTTGGTATACTATAAAAAGTCTATTCACATTCTCATACTGTGGGCTTGAAAGATTTCTTACGTTATGGATGTGGTCATTACAACCATATGGAAATGCAGTGCCTATTGAAACGAAATATTAATAAAGATATCGATGTTGATATCTCCCATTATTTAATTAAACTCTATCTTGAAATTCTATGGAAGAATGAATCTTCACACAGACAAGTTGCAAAATGAACTGCTCCTTAAATCGAGCAGCAATATTAACGAATGAACAGAAACTATATCTTTTACTCATTACCAGAATTTATCCTCTTCTCGTCGCTGTGATCCTTTTCATAAACGGTTGTGCGCCAAGTCCTAACTTACGTCGGCAAAAATTTGGAATTACCTCAAGTATTTGCTTTCCTTTCTTCTCTTGTTTCTAAGACGAACGGTTATTTCTTCAAGGGATTATATTTTTTTAAGACAAAATGATAAGTATTAAACTTTTCTCAAATTTTGGATGTAAATTTAACATTTAGAAACGTTAATTCTCATAATGTTGCCAAAAATAATGAAATATATGGAGATAACGAACAGTATTCAAGCTCAAAAGTCCATTAATCAATACAAAATAGGAGCAGAGCAAACACGGACCTCCAAAACATCAGAGGTGGGATCAGGTGCCATGGAGGAGTGAGCATCCCCTGCCGACCGGTCACACCCGCCGTGTGCTCCTTGTCATGATCGGGAAATAACGGAAAAATCCGTCGACAATTCAGTGTGTAAATAATGGCCTAACAATTAGTGTGAAAAACGTCAGTCAGCATGTTACTCAATGATAAATTGTATTTGCTGACAAGGTCATTCTATCGACCATAGAACTTACGAAATGATGACTTTAAACGAGACAGCTGATATTCTTGTTTCATCAACTTATTTGTCAATAATTTACCTCGTTTTAGAAATTGTACATACGTAGAGCATGCTCTTGCATATCGAATCAACTGAGAGATATATACCCCGTATGCAGGTGATGAAGGTATATTGCTGCATAAGTAAGGGAAGTTGACGATTGAAAAGTTAAAGTCATCACGTTTATCATAAAGCTTGGTTGTTAGATTACCATTAACGTCTTTTTCAAGTAAAATATCCAAATATGAAACAGATGTGTCAGACTCTGTGGTATCTTTTATCTCAAGTTCACAAGGATATATCGTATCGACATAAGAATGGAAATAGCCATTGTTAATTGACAATACGTCGTCGATATATCTAAATGTCGAGTTGAAGGCCACAGCAAGTGTTTTCTTCTTTTCACGTACAAGATTTTGAACAAATTCTGCTTCATATGAATACAAAAAAGGTCTGCTAATAACGGGGCGCAATTGGTACGCATGGGAATTCCAATAGATTGTTGGAAGACCTGGCCCCGGGATCATGAAACATATTAAGCTTAAGTCAAAATCTTTAAATCATACTTTGATGTTGTAGAAGTCAAGCAGACAAAAATCAAAATATGTTTCAATATTGATTCACAAAAGTGCTGTTATTTGCAAATTTTGAGATTGATTCAATGATTAATAAAAATTTTACAGGGGCTTGAAAATTAGACTTATGTCTAAGTCTGTTTCATGATCCTGGGACCAGGTCTCCAAAAACCATATAGATATTGTCAATCAGAAACTCAAGCATCTTTTTAATGTCAACTTCAGAGTACTTGTGTGAACAATCAGAATGTTTTTTAACAAAATAATTTTGCAAATGACCAATGACAAGGTAAGTATATTTACGAGTTCCATTTTTATTGAAAAAGCAGCTGTCAATGAAATCAAAAAGCCTGGACTTTAATTTATCGTGGGGAATGGTTGTGTACAAAGTTGAAAAGTCGTAAGTTTTTAAGCTGTTGATTTTGGTAAAATCTTGTGATTTCAAATTTTCCAAAATAGCTCCAAATAGCTCCAAAACGTATATATCTAACCCTTTAAAAACTATTCCCCGCAGTAAAATAAAGATCAAACTTTCCCCATAGACAACTGCTTTTCAATAAAAATGGAATTTACAAATTTTATTATCTTTTCAATTGTCATCTACAAACGTATCTTGGTAAAAACCGTTTTAACTCTACAAACAGGTACTCTGAATGTGGAAGTTGATGTTAAAAAATAATTGAGTTCTCTCAAAGACGATATAAAAGACGGGAGTCTCTTACTGTGTCTTAAACTCGACTTCAGATATATCGATGGCGTTTTTACAATTGACAGTATTCAGGCTCAATCATGCGTTTATTCGATATATTACACTGCATTCAATACAGAATTCAACACAGAGTCTGACTAGAAAGGGTAAAATTGAAATGATAAATTAGTAAAAAAAATTTTAAACCAAATTTTTAGCGGACAAAGAAGAACTTAAAATACGATGTGCTTTTACACATTTTAATGGTAGTTTTAGGATGAAATAACCTAAATTAACAAAGAGACTTCACGTGGTGCATTATGCTAGTTTACAATCTAATGAAAATCTTTGTCCTTCATCACTAATTTACAATAATTTCAATAGACGACAATTTATGAAATGTATAAATGAATGTCCTAGGGATTGCGTTCATAAAAATGACAATCAGATACAAAAAATGTGACAATTTTACAAAAAAAATAAATTAATCTCCTGCTGAAATTGAAACAAAGATAGAAGAAAAACGTAACAAGAATGTGTTAAAAGAATAATGGTAAATATTTTATTGTTCCTTAACATTATAACATGTTCAAAAGAAACCGATACAAACTTGTACAGAAAAAAGTTGACCAAACTTAAGTATTCCAAAACAAAATCTAACCTTGCAGTAGTGTTTTTATACAACTTCAAAGATTTTAACAGACAATGTTTGAAAGGAGGTCTAAGAGAGTTCTTGGAATAGTGTACATGCATGCTTGTTTTTGTTAATACATCCATTGGTGGTCTCTGATACAGTTTGAACTGAATTGCTTATGTATTTATGAAGACTTAATTTTAAATTATCAGAATATCAGATTAGTAGTTTAATGGACATTTCCTGCAACAGTATTTAGATAATGATTAAATACACTATGAGTCCTCAATTGAAAACAAATTCTAAAATTTTCATTTTCAGAAATTCTGTTCATCTATATGAGAGCAGGCTATATATAATTATTTATTGCTATAAATTACTTTTAAAAAAATTTTATTCCTTAATTTAATATTTTACAGATACAATGCTCTAAGTATCTTGTGTAAAGGTTGTATAGAGGTTCCAGTAAGACTGAGTTGGTGAGCATTTTCTGAGAAAGAATTGTAAAATCAAGTATAATCCTTTGTTACAAAAATAGTTACACATACTATTCTGGTTTTAAAATATTCGATCAAGCATGTTAAGGCAGTGCCCAGATCATTTTTCGGCGAAAAAAAAAAATAAAATTTAACATTGATAAGTCGGAAAAGCCAAAGATAAAACATATACTATATTATTATCCATTGTATAGACGTCACTGAGTCCTAGGATAAAAAAAAACCCACCCCACTACGACGTCAACACGTGAAAAATTGCCTTAACGAAAAAGTGAAAAGTTCAACACTACCCCGGGGATAATTCATTTCTTTTTGTGAAAATAATTATGTAAAAACACCACTGGGTCATGAAAAGTGCTGCTAGAATCCTATTCTCCCGACACAGAAAAAATTATTCCAAAGTTTTGCATGAATCATTACCAAAATTTTTACATTTTGTACATACGATCAAGGAATTGTCATCAATTCATGTTAACAACACGATTCTAGCAGCACTTTCTAAGTATTATAGAATAAAAGCTTTCAATACAAACAAAAATTATGTTTCAAAGTATGTGGCGTAGTGTTGAACTTTTGCTTTTTGTTGTTATAGACCGACAGAGGAAAGGCTGATCGGGATTTCAAAACACTGCCTGTGTTCATTTTAAGAAAACATGATAGAATAAATTAGCGACCTGATTCTTAATCTTTAATTCCTTATGAATCACACATGACATTCACGGTATATGCTTTAAAACTCCCATTTCATATATTTGTTTACGTGAATTCTCGTCACGTCAAGATTCACTCGGCAAATATTTGATCGATAGTTATGACCTCATGGGTTTGGTTTGGTATTTATCCCCTGCGATAAATACTTAGCTATCATACCACCCAAAAAACGACAAGATTTAGTTTATATTATGTTTTTGAATGATTTCAATTATTTCCTGGACCTGAAATTAAACTTTAAATACAGATATGAAGAAATCATTATCTCTAAAGTTCACGTCATACAGCTTACTATGGCATCATATTGTATAGGCATGTAGGGTATCTGGGTGAAGCCTTAACGTACCCGCGCAGGGAAACGACTCGATATTTAGAACTTAGCATTTCATCACCTTTCACAAGGTATTTGATATTTTTATTTCTAGTTGCAATTATACCTTTTCCTTAATAAATTTAAATAAGATTTTCTCAAGATTAATATTTAAAGGTATTAATTATTGCCTTAAATTTTAAATATAATTTATTACTTTGTATATACATGTATGTTTATTTGTATTCTTAATTCATTTGTAGAATCAAATGTATAAAATATTATATGCTTATTAAAATCAAAGAAACCTACAGCTGACTTATTTATTTACATATACAAAATACAGTGACTCAAAGATTCTTTTTTTTCATTAGTATAAAAAATATATATACTGTTATTTTGCATCTTTAGTCAACGAACGTCTTTTCTGTGCAGTTGAATGAGAGATCAAATTAGTCCAGTATATATATTTTGAAAACTTCCTGACATAGAGATTATGAAAAAAAAATCTTTTTTGCAATGTATAAAAATCCTAATTCTTAGTTTTTTTTAAAAAACCTACTCTGGACCATTACATCCATTACCCTTGATAGTGTGGCATGACGAATTTTGTGAATCGAAGGCACTGTGGCAGATCGTTTAAATGCGTACAAAGCAGCTTGCCGCTTGCCCGAAATATTTTGACAGATTCCAAGAATCTGCCATGAGATGTCCCTGCAATCTTTATCAATAAACACCCTCTGATCTTGGAGGACTAGGTCCTGCAAGTCGATTAAGGCTTTTTCTGAAGCCAGTGTGTTAACATGTTTGTAACACAAGAACTCTAACAGGTACAATAGTACCAAAGATGGGATGCGTATATCTTGCTGATTATTCAGTAAACTATAATATTGTTCAATCATTAATTCACGAATATACAAAATGTCATTATAAAGTCTGACATACGAGATTAATAATTCTCTAATTTTTATAGTCCAAGAATGCTCCCCTGTGTCATCTAAATCAAGGGCCACATATGCCTTTGCTAATTTGGTCCTTGTCAAAGTTAAAAGAGATAAAGCTTCTGGGTATCTACAAGTCTTGTAATAGTACATTACAGCATACAGCATGTCGGAAATACATCCGAACCTTGATGAAAATTGCAGCATGTTAAACGACATTTTGTCAAGGACGTATACTAGTTTGTTGAATTTTCTATCTCTATCAGAGCTTAAATATTGAGCAATAAAGTCACCATTCTCGTTGTGTAATATAAAAGCTGTGTTCTCAAGAGTGGAGACTGTTACCCTTTGTAACATTAGAACTTGATATTGATTCAAGGATAAACCCAGGAGCTGTTCTATTGAGTGCAGGAATGTAACACAGTAAGAGAGTTTAGATTTCAGAATTAAATCATACGAACCTACCTCACGAAACAGCTCTGTTTTGAAATCACATTCAGAGACGAGAGTGTTTTCATCTGTACAAATTTCAGGACTGATGTAATCAAAAAAGTTAAAAATGCTGGACCTGATGGTGGTACTTTCTAATACAGATGATAAACCCTTTTCATACAATGCATGTAGTCGGGAAAAAAGCTTATCCTGTGCTGAACCAAAAATATGAGCAAGAAACATGTTATTTTCTGGAATGAAGAAGTTTGGGCAGGAACCATCATACACCCACTTTAAAATGAGTTTAAAACAAATCAAGAAACCCTCTACAAAATTCTGTGAACACAGACAGGGAATGATATTGTACTGAATTGCCCAAAATATGGCTGTCTTCATGTGATAGGAACACAACAACTTGTTTTCATCTGGACCATTATTGATGACCTCTTTCAGGAAAATCTTTAACAAACCATATGTTAAGAATTGGTAGTGATTCATCGAGTACACAAGTTTTTGTTCTGCTAGAGAAAAAGAAATTCTCCATTCGTTGTCCATTCGCTTTCCTAGTTTGTGTCCTATTGCTACAAAGTGACAACCACCTTTGACAATATCTTTTACAATATGAGATGCAGGCCAGAATTGACACCTCTCCACCCATGAAGATGCAATTGGAGGCCAAATATTACTAGCAAAGCAATGAACAGCGTCCAATTCTGTATCTCTTTCACACATTCCCCTTACACAAGGTCCGTGTACTTTAAAATCACGTCCATATGCTGAACATTTCATCTCTTTATAGATGGAACTAGATATATAGATTTTGTCACTTATTCCGACACAGGCGTCCAGGATAGTTTCATCATTTGTTTGTGTTGGTAATTGAAGTAAAGCGAACCCAGGTGGACTTTCAGAGCAGTCAGCAAGAACATATGTTAATTTGGACGAATGTTTATACTGAATATGAGATACGTCCCAGAAAACTCTGTGTTGTTTTGACCAGAATATCAAGTCCAAATCATATCCCTCCAGTCTGAAACCTTCTCTATAACTTCCGCTTAAAGTATTTACATCACTATTGTCAATTTCCACAAGCTCAATAAGTTTACCAAAAATGTCAATCATTTCTCGTCTCATATTAATAATAGATGATGACCCTACCTTTTGACACATGCATGCGAACAAAGATTCTGACATGCGTTCTGTTTCCGATCTCCTGTTGAAAGATAATTTGAAGAAAAAACTAATTAATTCTTTAAAAAAAATATTAAAAACAAATGAGATAATAAAAAATAATCATATGATAACGTAATGAAGAATAGGCTAATTACTAGTTGATTTTTATAGAACGGGGGGCGATACAGAAATTTTCGTTTGGTGTGCATGTATATTTCAAGAAGCGGGGTGTATGGTAATCAACTTGTACCTTTTTGTACAGTAAATTTGTAAGTCCAGAGAGAAGGTATGTTTTGATTTAGGGATGGATTGGAGCCATAGAGACTTTTGAATTTTAAAGATGTAAAAGGAAATTTGTACTTTTATATTTAGCCTCCATTGGCGTGATAATAGAGGAGCATGCGCCTCCTTGACACAAAATATTTTCATATAAATTATCAAAATACATGAAATATGCAACATTTCTCATAAGATTATTTAGATTTTTTGGGTCAACCTTATTTTTAAGACATTGAGTTGTAATTTTAGCCTCTCTTTTGAGATTTCTTGTATTAGAGCCCCTTCCCCAAACTCAATATCTCTCTTTTTTGATTCACTACTTGCAAATAATTCGTGGGAGGAAATTTATATTCCAAATATTGGCATACATTAAATTTGAGTCATTAAAAACACAGCTGTGGAAAGATAAGTTATAACAATTTTAACATTTCTAACGTTATAACATTACTTGCGCTAGAATTTCTTTTAATTGCCTTTATCAGCCTAGGGAACTGAAGGACACTAAATTCTTGCTGATCAATGACATAGACAAAAACCTTCTTCAATTTTCGATCTTTTTGAAAACGTTAAAAGGAATCTGAGATGTCTCTACTGTTAAATCAATTGCTTGTTATCAAGTATAATCTACATTACTATTAATTGCATGAAAACTTCAGTCTCCATTTATGATTTTCTCTATTTCAATGAATTGTGATATATTTGCTTTATTTCTTATGAAAAAGCACTTCCCTTAATCAATCCAAAATTGCTTAACTAGTAAGAGCTATTTTTTCTCAAGGCCACCTGTATAAAAGATCTAGATTTCTTAATTTCAAAAGCAGTGTGGATTCCTTCATCACTAAAACATAACGATGGTTTGCAGATCAATTTTGCTATATTTTACATACTTAAACCTACTTTGTTAGATTATTTATATACATATAGATATACATGTACAATAAAATTTCTTTCTTTCTTTGATGATGCAGGATAAACATATTTATTTTAAATAAGCATCTTAATTTCATGACAGTGTTTCCTTCTTATCATCATACAAGTAACCTTATCTTTTGAAATTAAATGTCGGTAGTCGTCTATAGATCAACCAGAGTAATTGTATCGACTTACCTTGTTACAGGTCTTGGGCATCTGGACTCCATCTTGTATTATTAATAAAGTGACAATTTTCCGGACCAATAAATTATTAGAAGTCAATGATAATTTTAACACAATCCTTTACACATTGTTTATTTAAAAGGTTGTGTGTATCCTTCAAAAATCTTTTCTCTCATTCACTTTGAATAATTGATTTAATCTTTACTCATACCTTTGTTCATCTTCCCAAGTCAAGGGTTTTTGATCCGCTCCGCTATGTGGAGCGGAGCGAATCAAAAACCCTTGACTTGGGAAGATGACCTTTGTTTGGATTAATGTATAGCATTGGAACTTATGGATTTTTAAAGCACAAAAATTATAAAGGATCTCCTTGTGTTGGTTGGTTTTAGTCTATCTTTCTAATCAATGCATGTAGTATGAGGAAATATTGATAGGACGACCCTTTTCTTAGACCTTATGTTGCTTCATATTGTTCACGCATTTTGCGTTTGCAATCTCGTAAAGATAGTTTTCTTAACTTTTCATGGTAATGATTCCCCTCTCCATGCGCCTGTATATAGCAATATGTTTCCATGGAAATAATAATAAAAAAAAACATGTCATTGATGTAAACAAATTATATACATGAGTTCCCAGGGAGTGTAGTTAATAATATGCAACCCTACAGTTTTTTAAAATTGGAATCTGAATTTAGGATCCAGACTTTATCTACGTGTATAAACGTATATATATATATATATATATATATATATATATATATATATATATATATATATATATATATATATATATATATATATATATATATATATATATATATATATATATATATAAACTGATTTTTTCTATTGGCCACCTACTCACCTGTGCATTTTTTTTTTTTTGCTCAATTCAATGCATGAATACATTTTATGTAGACTATAGAATAACCATTGTGGATGAATAACCATTGTGGGTTGTTCATTACGAACTGAAGGTGGAATGTAGAGTACTTTTAGAGGCAAACACTCATGTCCGGGTATTTCTGTCTTAAGGCAGCACCTAGTCTTATATTTTTCCTATTCTTATCGTTATAAAGTCTGTAGATGTGTCAGTCGTAAATTTTCATACAGTTGAACTGCTCTCCAATTCGGAGTAATATCATCAAACGTCTCCATTTCAACAGTTTGGGAAACTGTCAAAAATTACGCAGATTCTTGGAACTTCTCATAATGACGCCGTATAGTAGAGAGTGAAAAATAAAAATATATTTTACTGCAGCCTTATTTCTTTTATCATTTTATTTTGAAAAAAAATCCTCGTGTATTCACTGATAAACCCTAATTTTTGATTGTGCGCCGTAGAACCATACCCTTCGCGTATTCATTTAGAATAAAAACCTCATTTTAGTCTATATTTCGTCAAAAAAGAGTATACTTTAATTTGAGAGATAAACACTCGCCGAAAATTTCAGGCCATTACGCCAATCATTTTTAAGTAACTTAACCTGACTCACTCAGTCGACCTATTGAATTCTTGTCTTATCCGTCGTGTGCGTTTGTGCGGGTCACAGTGCGTCATGCGTAAATTTCTCACATTTTCAACATTCTCAAGACCCACACGACCAATTTCGGTCAGACTTGCAACAAAGTATCCTTGGATGCAGTTTGTACAAGTGAAGGGCAGTGTCCCCTTCCAAAGGGAGATTATCGAGAAAAGGCAAAAATAGGGTGGGACCATTTAATTAACTTCTTCTCAAGAACAACTGAGCCAGAAATGAAACCGATATAAAGGCTTCCTGACATAGTGTAGATCTAAGTTTGTTCAAATCATAGCCCCCGGGGGTAGGATGGGGCCACAGAGAAGGATCAAAGTTAACATGGAAATATATAGGAATAAATCTTTTAAAATCTTCTCAAGAACAGCAAAGCCATTTTCTAAAAAAATATCATATTAATATGGAAGCATCCCCAGGAAGTGGAGATTCAAATTTGTTCATATCATGACCCCCAGAGGTAGGGTGGGGACACAACTGGAGACCGAAGTTTTACATAGGAATATAAAGGAATTTTTTTTTTAAAAATATTCTACTCACGAAGAGCCTAACCATAGATATCATATTAATATGGAACTATCCTCAGGTAATGTAGATTCAAGTTTGTTCAAAGCATGACCCCCGGGGGCAGGCTGAGGCCAAAATAGGGGATCAAATTTTTACATAGGAATATATAGGGAAAACCCTTCATCCTCTGGTAGTGTAGATTTATATACAATGTTCAAATCATTACCCCTGGGTGCAGGATGGGGCCTAAATGGGCGAACCAATGTCTACATAGTAATAGATAGGAAAAATCTTCTCAAGAACAAAAAAGCCACATTAATAAGTCATATAAATTTGGAAACAATGTCAGATAGTGTACATTCAAGATTGTTCATGACCCCCGAGAGGAGAATGGGACCCCAAAGGATGACCAAAGTTTTACATAGGAATTTATAGGGAAAAGCTTTAAAAAGTTTGTCCAAATCATGGCCCCTGGAAATAGGGTGTGGCCATAATAAGAGATCAAAATTTTATAGGGAAAATGTAGAAATCGTCTTTAAAAATATTCTTTTCAACGAACAGCAAAACCATGCTTGTTCATATTAATATGGAAGCATCCTCAGGTAATAAGATTCAAACTTGATACAAGTACCTCGGGAGAGTTGGACCGCTAATAGGGATCAAAATGTGATTTAGGAATGTATAGGAATGAATATGAAAGCTATTTTAGTCATATTAATATGGAAGCATACCCAGGTAGTGCAGATTAAAGTTTGTACATTTCATAATCCCCAAGGATGGATCGGCGCCACAATAAGGGATAAAATATTTATTTGAAAATTCTTTAAAAAACAGCAGAGTCATGATATGAAAGTATAGATCCTCAGGTAATGCAGATTCAGATTTGTACCAATCATGGTCATGGTGGAGGTTGGGGGACAAATGGGGATCAAAGTTTTACGTAGAAATAGGGGGAAAAATCTTTAAAATTGTTCGTGAGGGGGATAATATAGTGAAATTTATTATACAGTGTTCCTCATTTCATTTACTCATAAATTTATAGGGGACAAGCTGCAGAAGTTTGACAGCAAGTAAAGAGTTCTCATTAAACTGTAAAATGTATGAGATATGTCAAAGCCAGTTCCAGGTGGGCACAAAGTGGTTTTACCCTTAAAAACTCATGATACTCATGTGACCCTTAAAGCCCATGGGCCTCTTGTTCATTAAAACCGCTTTGACCAAGATTTTACCGGACTATCCTCGTATTACATATGAAAACGTTGTACATGTATTACCGTTATTTTTTTCTTGATACTTTTCTTGAAATACAATTTAATGTTATTTTTTAATCTTAAAACCAAGTTTTTATGTTTAGGAATTCACGAAAAAGGGATAAAAAAAAAACTAAACTTGGAAAAAATTATATTTAATACTTTGGTATATTTTAGTGGGCCCTGGTGATGGAGTTAGGGTTCATTGGACGTAATGTACACGGATGTGATACACATTCTGTTTAGTGCTGTTATATAAGTCCGATAACAAAAAAACAATGTTTAAGTTTATTACT